ATTTTGTGTTTCTGTAGCATAGGGGATTGAACCCTGGACCTTGAGAATGCCAGACCAGTGAACTGTCACTGAACTAGCTTGCAACTAGATATCTTGAGGATCCTGTCAACCATACCTTTAAAGAAGATAAGATGGGCTAGAAAAATGGGCCAACAATGGTTGAAGCTATTCCTGTTCTCTATGAGAACAAATTAGGCCATAACCCAACCTTGAGGAAAAAGAAAAAAAAAAAAAAACGAACTAATCTTCTATGGACTACTGAATCTGCCTATAGGAAAATTTTAAACTATTTTCCTGCCTTAAAGGCCAAGATGAAGTGGCTTTATTTGTCCATTTTGTTAATGGACTGCAGATAGAAATAAGTGACTCACTAAAGAAGCATAAATTAGAATGGGAAGTAGCTCCCTTAACAGAATTGCAATATCTAGTAGGACATTTTGAAAGGAAATTAGAGCAGAATAGAAACCATCAGACAAATAAACTAATAACCATTCAATTACAATAGTTGGAGGGACCTTGACTAACTTTTAAAAATGTGCTCCCAGTTTTGCTCCTATTGATAGAAATGCCTTGTCATAATGAACTTTCCTGGATCATGAAAACATCTGAGTGGTGAGAATTTCAAATCAAGTTCAAGGGTTCCCATATCAGAACTCATAAATATACCTTTGGCCCTCTCCCTGAGAATTGCTCCTTCTTGTTATGTGACATTGGTCCTGTAACTTCCTGGGTAGACATCTGTAATTGACATAGGAAACTAAATAAAATTCTCTTCTGGCGAAATGACCTTAGATTCATCAGACACTGAAACACTATGGGTTCTTTAAGCCCAAATTGACTGTCCTAAGGAAATATTTAATTCCATTTACATCTAGATATATACTTTTCTGAAATTCCTGGCACTCTGTGGGCTTCTTGTTCTACAGATGTGGGAAGGATTCGAAATATCAAACCCATTAAAATTCAGATTGACCCTTTTAAATTGCTTCTTAAATTATTTCAATACTTTCTGACATCTGAAGTAATATAGGGATTCATACTGATAAAAGAGGAATTAATAAGTCAGAGATTAATTATTACATGTACTAATCCTTGTCACATTCCTATCTTCCTGCCAATAAACCCTGGGAAGAGGGACAGAGTTCTGTACGGGACCTGGAAATTATAAATAAAATTGTAGTACCGAGTTCCAGTGGTACCAAATCAAACTGGTACCCACTGAATCCAAGGAGTTCATAGTAGTAGACTTGATTTACTTCTTTTTGTTTTAACATTCCTGGAGACAAAGACTACCTGCGTTTGTTAGCTTTTACTTAAAAAATCAACAATGTACTTGGGTAATAATGCCGCAGGAAAAGCAGATGCTACTTCGCACTGTTCACAAGTTTTACACTGGGGCTAGGACACAGCAATTTCCCAGAAATTCTATCTGGACTCAATATGTAGGTGATTTACTTCTTTGTTCCTCATCAAACAAAGACTCAGAAATGGACTCAATGTGTATAGTACAATAATTGGCTTATTGGTGCCTGAAGACTTGTCGAGATAAACTCTAATTCTCATAAGAAATGGTGCATTATCTAGGTCATGACTTATTTGAAAAAAAAAAAAGGACTTTCTGTTTTCAGAAAAAAACAAATATTATACAAAATTATCCCAGGTCTGTGACTAAAAGGCAACTCAGAGGATTCCTTGGATTTGCAGTATATTGTAGATCCTGGGTCCATGATTTTTCTCTTTATTATCCTCTCTACTCCATGAGATAAGCAACAGTAACACTTAGGAACCTCTTCTTTGGGAAACAAACCATGAGAAGGTCCCCTGGAACTTAAATGGGCATTGAGCAGTCCTTCAGTGTTAGAGCTCCCAATTATTCCAAACCCTTTTGTTGTATATGTATGACACAATCAGGCTGTAGAAGTCCTTATTAGAAAATGCCGAGGGAAAAATGCATAGCTTCACAGTTTGAGAAGTTAAAGATCAGATACAGATACCTCACCAGATTATAAAGGCACAATCAATTGATCTTTTTAGTCTAATCTTGGCTTTGGCTTCACAGTCTTTCTCAAACCCTTGGTATTATCTCCCCATTAGTCACATTGATAAAATTCCTGTGCATTGTGTTCTCTTAAGAGTCGTAAATGATTGTCAGCATTCACTGACTCTTAAGATGAACTCTACCAGGCCCTGAACAACAAAAAACGACATGAATTTGAATATATGGAAGAACCCTTTAAATTCTGCTTTGTGATCTTTAGATGATCATGAAAAGAAAAACGGTAGTAATGAGAGAAATGCTTAAGACCTGGTCATTGTCTGAGGTCAGCTGTATCACCAAAAGGGAGGGGAGACTGTCAAAGTATAATGAAAATGAAGGCCACAGTTTCTGTATACCCAAGAACAACCAACCAACCATCACTTCATAACAGAAAATCAAGCTATCCTGATTTCTCTGAAATGCAAGCTCTCAACAAATAAACTTAAGCTTTTCTTCCTTGTCAGAAGGACATAGACAAATAAGCTTATACAGCTGTACTTACTCTAAAACGAATTTAGGTTTTTAATAGCCAGTAACAATAGAGATCAATGTACTTCCTTATTTATGCTTTATAAATTGTACTGTAACCTTAAGAGCCAAACTCTTTTGGGTTTGAAGTCTCCCAGTTCACCAGCTGTTCTTTTGAATGCACAGTAAATTTTTACCTTTCTTTTTGACTTGATCTGATTTTATTGCGATAAGGCCTTCCCTATACTTTGGGCTATTCACAGCATGATAATCTCAGGGTAGTAGTGCTTTTTACCTGATGGCTGCCTTTAAGGTGAGGCTTACAAGGGAAACGAAGTGATATTTCTGGGGGGACTGTACCTGGAAGCTTGCACACTGCTCACTTTAGCAATATTCAGAGGTCAGGGGTGTAACAGAGCTCATCCAGCTCAAGGAGAAGAAACTTAACACCCTCCTTCCTGCCCTCAACACACCAAATGAAGAGAATGTAAAAGCATTTGCAGTCATATGCAGTTCAGCAGGCAAGGAAAGGTCAATTGGAATAGAAAGATCAGAAAAATCTGTACAGAGAAATTAGTAGTAGATGAGCTGTTTTTAAAGGATATAAAGCTTTGAAAAAGTGGAGTGGAGATGAGGCCAAAAAATAACATATATCTAAATATAAAACAGTAACAACAGGGAAAAGTCTTCCAAAATGCTCAGCAAAACAGGAGTTCTATTTCTTTCTCAGATTGTTTTGCTCCAACAACAAAATTCACAGTGGGAAATGGACTCAGCTTAGGCAAGTCACTTTTTCTCTTCATAAACAGAGTGATTCAACTGAAAAGATAATTTTTCTTTAAATGAGGTCATCTCATTTGCAGAAGGGGGAATTTGAGGTTAAAGATTTTATAAGACTAATTGGGAAAGGTCAGTCAGAGTTCAGTTTGTCCTGAAAATTGGCCAATTTAAAAAATTCTCCCAAGGTACAGGGAAATGTTTGCAGTTAGTATTGAAATAGGATGCAGGGCAGCAAGATGGGCATGATTCAGTAGCCATTGATCTGGTTATTTGGGTTTAGCAAGCCTAGCCAAGGTCTTGGTATGGTCACAGTATGTTTTAGTCCTTTAGGATATCATAAGGCTTTGTTCAGATAAGTTTAAACATTATAAGAATAAATTTCCTTATAAAAAAGATGCTTTCCCTAGATTTGTAGTTCACAGATAAGCAGCTCTCCACATTCATTATTGTATATGTGTGTGTGTTTGTGCATACACAGGTATACAGGAGCCCCCTTAGTACACATAGTGTTTTTTTTTTTGTACTGAAGATTTTTACCACTGAACTACATCTCCAGCCCTTTTTATTTTTTTATTTTGTGACAGAGACTCACTAAGGTGCTTATGGCCTATCCGAGTTCAGACTGGCCTTAAACTTGTGATTCCATGACTTCCCAATCATGCAGTCTATTTTGAACAAAGTGCCTGGTACTTGGTAGATATTTAATATCACTGGTGAATTGTATCATTCTTATTCTCTCAATACTTATTTGAATAATCTATTATTTTCCAAAGTTTGACCTATATAATACTAAGCTGCAAACAGGAGTATTTTAGATATACACACTAATTAAAATTAAACATTGCTCTCTGGAGTAAGCATATCTTTCTTGTTTAGCAGTTCAACCTGACAATCTGTATCTAATGTTCTCTTTCATTTTTTGGTTCATGCTGATCTGCAATAAGGAAAGGAAGAAGGAGCAAAACTCATGAGAGATACTTTTTTTTTTTTTAAAGGATCAAACTTTTACTTTTTTTTTTAAAGAGAGACAGAGAAAGAGAGAGAATTTTTTAATATTTATTTTTTAGTTTTCGGCAGACACAACATCTTTGTTTGTATGTGGTGCTGAGGATCCAACTCCGGCCGCACACATGCCAGGCAAGCGCGCTACCACTTAAGTAGCCCCATGAGAGATACTTTAAAAAATATATCTTTTGTAGATTAGGAATGGAACCATCACGGCACTCATGCTACTACTCTTTGGTATTTCTCCAAAAGAATTAAAGTCAACATACTATAGAGATACTTGCATACCCATGTTTATAGCAGTCAAGTTATAGAACCAGCCTAAGTGTCTGTGAGTGGAGGAATGGATAAAGAAAACATGATATATATAAGCAATAGATTTATACTCAATTATAAAGAATGAAATCATGTCATTTGTAGGAAAATGAATTGATCTGGAGAGTATCTTGTTAACAGAAATAAGCCATATTTACAAAGCTAAGTGAAATAAGCCATGCTCAGAAAGTCAAGGATGGAGTGCTTTCTCTTATATGTGGAAGCTAGGGAGAGGGGAAAAAATATAAGGGAGATTAGTAAAATAAAGGAAGGAGAAGGGGAGGGAAAGGGGGAGATAATGGGAAATGGGAAATGAAATTGACCAAAAGATATTCTGTATATATGCACGAAAATGACATAATTAATCTCACTATTAGGTATAATTATAATGTACCTGTAAAAAATATCTTCTGTGTGGAGAAGTCCTGTAGTCTCAGCTATTCCAGAGGCTGAGGCCAAAGAATCGTTGGGATTCAAGGGTTGGTTAACAGTGTAGGCAACAAAAGGAGATCCCGTTTTTTAAGAAGGAAAAAAAAAGTTTTTTAGTTGTCTTATATTTGGTGGAAGCATAAAAAAATTTCCAGCTATTGGCCTTGATGGATAAGGGATAGCATTATGTTAAATGGTGTTCAGTGTATGAGTTTGACCAAGTTCAACGTCTTTGCGCATTTTACACAGCATGTCCTTTACGTAGTTGTTTCTTAGGCTCTTTTGGCACCTCAAAAACTGTTAAGCTAAGCAAACAAAGGGAAAATATAAAGATACACTATAGGGCCTTGGGGGCTCTGAAGCCTTATTCGGGAAAGACCCAGTTATGCCTTTAGAGACTGGAGGGAAGGGTGTGCATAACTGGTAGGAAGAGCTAAAGCAAATCCAGGGTGTAGGGCCGCTAGACAGCGCTTTCCACAAGCGGAAAAATAAATCCCCTTAATAAGATAGCTTGAAGATGTCTGAGGGAGCAAAGGTATTTTCTATTCTCTTGTCTGTCCCATCAAAGTAAATAAGCGAACCCTGCCTCTGATGCACGCAAAGAATAGTCTGCAGGGAGAGTTTCAACCTATCCCCAAAGTGAGGTGCTCGCCATCACCTGCCCAGCATCTACAGCAAGCTCCCTCCCCAACCTAGTAGAGCTGAGAAGGCGGAGGCCTGAGAGGATGCGGAGCGGAGGTGGCACTGCACATCCGGGAGCGCCAGCAGGCGGCTGCGGGCTGCATAATTCATGGGGGGCTGGGCGCAGCACTGGGCCGGCCTCGGGTACGGAGGGAGAGTCTCGGGGGAGGAAGGCAGGGCGGCTGGGCCCCTCCCACTCAGCCTTTTCTCGCGTGTCCTGACCCCGGGACTGGCAGTGAGTCCCGAGCCATCAGCGACTGTGCGCCGGGTCCTGGGACACCGACGGCGGCGAGCTAAGGAAAAAGCAGCGTCCACGAGGACCAGGGCTAGCCCGCTGGCCCCATGCGAGCGCTCACGGGCCTGCGGGGGCCCCGGGCGCCCAGAGCGCCCTCGGCCTGGCAGCTCCTCCTTGTGTACCTAACAGCTGGGACGCCCTGGAGCTCGGCGGACGGCGATCCCCCAGGTGTGAGGGGTGCAGGGGCCGGGATGGAGAGGGCTCGGGGCGCGCCTGGAAGGGGCGCGCAAAGCTCGAGTCCTCGCGGGCGGAGGGCCTCGCGGGCGCGCTGGGGCGGCGGTGGTGGGGAGCAGCGCGCGGATGCTGGCGAAGGCGGGCTGTGGAGCGGCGGCGGCGGCCTCCCATTGGCTGGGCGTGCGTTACCTAAGCTGAACCTGGGAACTGGAGAGGCTCGGGCTTCTCTGCTTGGTGGAGTGAATCTGGAACGAGTGGCGCCGGGCAAGTCAGAATCGTCTGGGGTGTTGGTATTCGGGCAGGGTCGAGATTTTTTTTTTCTTTGGAAGAGGGCGATAGCCTGTGTGGGTGGGTGCGAGCACAAGTCGGTGACTTTGCTTCTGCTCCTGTGGTGTGAGTTTTGAAATCCACATTCCCCAAGGCCAACTCCCTTTACTTGAATTGAGAGTAAGACTCAGATATCACCTTTCCTCCTGGCAGGTGTTGGCTTTGAGGTTGTTTTGCAGAGCAAAGTGAAAAAAGTGAAAAAAACCACAACCAACCAACCAAGAAAACAAAGCCCTCACAATCTACAGGATAATTTGTGTGTATCCTTTAGTCTTTGAAAACAATACCCCCATCCTGCCCCCTGTGGTGGTTGTGTTGCTTAAGACAGCTTTGCCATTTCAGCTTCACCTGTTTATAGTTACTTTTTTTTTTTCTTCCATCTAACCTGAATTCCTGTGCTAGTAAATATCTTAAGCGTTAGCATGCAGCAAGGACAGAAGAATACACTGCCCCTTAAGTGGTAAAGATTGCCCACGAGGGACATGGTTCTGTGTGCTAAGTTCAACCTTTCACAGTAATTTATTTTTATGAAGCTATAGCCCGTAATTTTTTTTTAAACATACCATGAAGAAGGAAAGATAATCCAAGACAATTCTTTGTTTTATACATGCCCTCCAAAAGGCCTAGTTGTTAACAACTTGGACAAAATCATTTGGGTTGCTTTAATTTTTAAGTTTCTTTGCCTCTTCTCTTTTCCATCAGACCACCTAAAAATAACTGTCCCGAGTCTCCCCCTCCTCCCCCCATATCCCTAGTTTTTCTATCTCCCATTCACCCAACATTCATTTTCAGAATAGGGTGGTTTTCTGCCTGCCTACTTTCCTTCCTCGCTCTTTCTCCCCTCCCCCTCCCACCCGTTTCCAGTTCTGGGGATGAACCTTAGGCCTCAGTCATGCTGGGTAGAAGCTCTACCACTGAGCCATACCCTTCAGCTCCAGAACTTTGTAGTTTTGAGAATCAATTAGTTCTTGGTTAGTACTTAAAGTATGGTTTCCTTGGCTCTATATCAGAATTACCAGTGCTTTAAAATTACTGATATCTGGTTCCTGCCTGTAGAAATGGATTAATTTGGCCTGAGATTCGGCCTATACATAAGTAGTTTTAAAACTCCTCGTGATTCTATGTAGTTTAAAACTACTGCTTTAAAATGATATGACCTGGAGAGTGAACTATTGATACTCTGTTGACAACAGGTTTAAGCAAATATCTGGAGCAGGTTCCAAAGGGAAGGAAGCTAGGAAACAAATGGAAGAAGAATAAATGAAGGTGGAAACAAAAGGGATGAATGGGGAGAGAAATATCTATGTATGTATGTAGGTCCTGTTTTATTTTATTTCCATGTAAAGCTAAAATTACAAAATCATATGACATATACAAGACAAGAAATAAGCATCTAAATTTAAGCTAGCATTAAAAAATGATCAGGCAACCAAAACTTGCTTTCTAGACTCTATATCGCTCTCCATGCGATTGTTTCTTTTTTGCTAAAGGGTACCGTAAAATTTACTGGATACTTTTTTAAAAAAATAATATCTTTATTTTATTTCTATGTGGTGCTGAGGATCGAACCCAGTGCCTTACTCATGCCAGTTGAGCACACTACCATTTGAGCCACATCTTAAGCCCCTGGATATTTTTTAATGAAGATGCTTTGAACTGCTTGGAGATAGGTGTTCTGTTAAACTAAGACTTTGCCGAGTGTTTTTTTTTTTTTTTTTTAAGGCAGGTGTCTCTGTGTTGCCTAATCTGATCTCCAAATGGTGACCTCAAGTGATCTTTCCACTTCAGCCTTGGGAGTAGTTGGAACTACAAACAGGGGCCACTCTGCCCAGTCTTCCAGCAAATTTGGATAATAAACATGGTTATAAGTTATAATGTTTACTATGTGACAGTTATGTGCCAGCTACTTCACTGTGCAACTTATAGCCCCAATGAGTTAGCTTTATTATTCTCGGCTTTCAAATGAGGAAATTGGGGCTTAGGTTAAGTAATTGCCCAAGTGCACATATTTAGTAAAGCAGTGTAGCTGGAAATTTAGTATTGGTCAATCCAATTCCAGAGCTTGTTTTCTTACACACAACGCTGAGTTGTCTCCTTGAGATAATTCGATATGCCTATGAACATTTGGAGCCACTTGACAATACAGTTAGTCTCAGTGTTTGGTATGAGCTATAAGACTTGTTGACAGTTTGAGTCCCTAAAGAATTAGGCACAGGGACTCACCTTGACTCTGTGAAGCTTTTTTTTTTTTTTTTCCATATATATAAGAAATGTAAAGTGTCTTTGTAAAAGAGAAATATGAATGGGAATATTTCAACATCATTATCATTACTATTATATGAAAAATTGGATAAATGGTTCATGTTTATTTTTTGAGAAATGTTTGCAGTGAAGTCGTTTGAAATTGGCATTTTAACTTACAGAGGACATGGTTTGTGTGCTTCCTTGATCAACTTTGTTCCCTGCTAGACCATCCCACAAAGAGTGCCCAGAATAAATAGTTGTTGAAGTGACTATTTTTCAAGTGCCCACATTTTCCTGGCATTGTATTACCTATATTTTAGGAGAAAGTGCTAGCAGTTGTGTCTTTAAAGACATTTAAACTGTTTAAAGAGATAGATTTACTGTAAGTCTACCTTTAATAGCCTACCATCAAAAATTTTAACCTAAATTTATCATCATAATTAAAATGAATTATATAAGTATTTATTAAGACCTAGTTCAACTGACTCACTTCCTAGTGTTCTACCCCCGCTCTCTCCCTTCTGTCTCCTCTTGCCCTTAATGGATAGCCACTGGGAGGGGAAGAACAGGGAAGCATCCTCACGTGGGGAGTGGAGCCAAAGGCATCCAGATCCTGGTAGGGATGGCATCCAGGTAGGAGAGCAACCTAGGTGTAGGGTTCAAGCCTTATCATAGTGAAGAGGGTGCTTCTTTCTAGTGCAAAGTCTCCAGAGTTGAGCAAGGTGACAAGGGCTGTCATGCTAGGGCAGCTAGACATCAGTATCTGATCCCCATCAAGGCATGGAGGTAAGGCATACAGGAGAGACAGACCAGTTCAGGAGGCAGAAGCAACCTGAGTGAGTGAGGAACATGGGGACAGGTGTGGCAGCAGCAGTGGGAGATTAGTTACATACAGGGGAACTGATGAACTAAGTAAATCTATCAAGGATATTAGGACCCAGATTTTCCACTAGAGAAGAAGGAAATGAAGATATGCTTGTGGCGGGGAGTGGGTGGGAGGGGCGAGTAGAATGCTGTGGTTTTGGATTGCAATTGATAGTATCCATGTGTGTATGTATGTGTAAATGTCCTTATAATATATATGATATATGTATAAGTAATATACACACATATGTATATGTGTTGTATGTATGTGTATATGAGTATGCTTGCATGTATTTTTGGCTCTGTTTCCTGAGATGAAGCAGTGAATAAGAATACTTAGCACCCTGGTTTTGGATTAAAGTACCATTCTTTACTAAGAGTAAGCAGGACTTCTTGGAGAAATGGTTGATTTCAGGATTAGGGTGAGAAAGACAATAAGCCTGGAATATCTTGTGTAAGAAAACAGTTAAGTGCTTACAGAATGGCAAATCATGTCAAAAGAATGAAAGAGCTACTGAAAAGAGGCTCCCACTGGACAATCTGGGACAAATTGAATATCAAGGTAGATAATGATATTAATGGGTTATAAACCACTGAATAATATGGGAAATCTTGAGCACATACTGTTATGAATTAGTCAATGAAAAGTTTAATGAGGTACAAAGTATTATACAGCTACCAAGTAATTTCCCTAATAATTCTTATAGATTCACAGGGGATAAAAGAAAAAATAGAAAAGACTGCAAACACGACCTTAATCAAAGCTCGACCTTAATCAAAGGTCAAACCAAAAACCATCAATAAAGGTGGAAAAAAATTGGGTGCTCTAATAGGGTGTACAAGGAAAAGAACACAGTATTAGCGCAGTGATATTTATGCCAAATACCCTGTATTTGTCCATATTACAGCAGAACTCTCGTGGGATTTTCATGAGTCAAGGTCATCAAAGTCAGGAGGAGACTGAAGCTCTTCCAGAATGAAGGAGGAGAAATATGACAGCTAATGGTAGCATGTGATACTGAGCTGGACCTTTTGCTAAAATGCACTTTGTAGGGAGACTTATCTAGAGTGCCGAGATGATCTGGTAATGCATGAATGTTAGTCCCCTGGTCTTCAGGCTATATTGGGATGATGTTGGGGTGTTTCTTTTGTAGGAAATATACGGTAATGTCATGTGGTCAGCAATGTCATTGTCATACGGTTCAGGAAAAAAAGTTCTGTTCTTGAAATCCTTCTGTTATTTGAGATTGAAGAGAAAAATAATTAGAAATAATTAGTTCTTTTTTTTTTTTTTTGCAGGGGAAGCTTGGTTTAAGATAGGCATTCAACTACAACAAAAAATAATTTAATAATTTTGTTCTTCAGTTCTATTTCCCAAAGAAGAGGAATAGAGTATATATGTTGAGGGTGGTTGTCTTAGATTATAATCTTCTGAAGTTAATTTTGTATAGCTGGCCATATGTTTCACATTATAAAGTGAATATTAGGAATAAACAACCTAGGACACATGTTCCTACATAGAAGGAAAAAAAACCCATTATAACATTTTGTTAAAAATA